TGTTTTGATTGATGTTTAATTTGAACCGTTTTATTAGATGGAAGACATATTTCGGGAGCAGTTATGGCGAAAATAGGGTCGTCCTAGAGAATTGTACCCCGACGAGTCTAGCAAAGATGCCCCTGTTCCTCCTGAACTCCTTGTCCCTAACTGTGACTGTGGTCGTCCGGCCGATGTGTTTCAATCGAGACATCCGGACACAGCGGCTTGTTGCTTCTACACTTGCAGTCGTTTTAATGTAAGTAATTGTTTCCGTATATTTTTCTTCTTTATTTGTATTACTAGGTTACTAATATTTTGTTGAATTTTTATTATGTAGGACCATGAGAGGTGTTTTTTCTTTTAGTGGATCGTCTGAATCACTGCTAACTACATCACTGATCCTGTCCTCCTCCTCCTGCTCCTCCTCTTCCGTTCGAACTCATTCACATCGAAGTCATTGCTTATACAGCCTACTGCAGTTGAATGAAACTGCTCCTGCGTCAACTGACCGTCCAAATCCATGTTATCCTGAGTTGTTTCCCCTTCGACCCCTAATTCTTGTCCATTGCCTCTAAAACCATTAATGGACGAGCCGTCCTAAACACCATGCATCATGTACCCATTCTCCACCACCACCTCAGTCATAGGCACATTTGAACCTTGGAGAATCCTAGTGTAGCGGGACCAGTGAGTGGGGTCGCGTAAGGGCATGAGGACATAGTGTACCCTAGTCTTCCCAGTATCAAACCTCCCCTTCAGTGTGAAATCACCGCCAAACTTTGCATTCAAACGGACACAAAGATCGTTGAAGCTAGGAGGTTCATCAAACCATTCCAATTCTTCTTCCATATCCTCAAACACACCATCTTCTCTCCTAACACTTCCTCCGTACAAAACTCTAACACAACAATCCATCTGCAAAAGCATTTCAAGAAATTTCATCAAGTCGTTGAAATCGTCGAACGTATTGTCCATAGTAATATTAATACATATTCTAACTATAACTATACTAACTTGTCTAATATTAATATCTATACAAGGCTAACTACAACAACTAATTAGACTAAGTCCAATGTATAACTAGACTCAATAACTATACTAAATAAACAACCTAACTTTACTACCTGTACTAACTTACTATATTACCAATACTAACTAAACTAACTAACTATACTTTAATAATTTTACTAACTTTATTAATTGTACTAACTATATTAGTGAAGTACCTCGCTGCAACGCGCAAGACCGGGCCGGGAGGCGCGGGCGCAGGCCTCGGCGGGCAGCCGTCGTGCCTGGCCGGAGGGGGAGGCGTGCAGGCGCGGCGGCCGCACCGAGCGGCCGGCGGCCGTGCCGTGCTCGGCGGCGGGCTGGCTGGCTGGCGCGGGCGGGCGGGCTGGCGCGGGCAGACGCGGCCGCGGCGGCTGGCGTGCTTGGCGGCGGGCTGGCGTGGGCGGACGCGGGCGTGGCGGCCAGGCGGCCTTGCTGCGCTGCTCGGGCACTAGCGGACGCGGGCCGTGGCGAGGGTTTTAGCCGGCTCTGCCACGCCACGGATCAGGGCGCGGCACTGCCGCGCCAAGATCGGTGGCGCGGCAGGCCCTGCCACGTCAGCGGTCAGCGATTCCGGTCGCCGCCACGTCAGCCCGCTGCCGCGCCACCATGCATGGCGCAGCACAGGCATTTAGCCGCGCCAGGACAATAGGCGCGGCCAAAAGTGTTAGTTTAAAAAAAACCGACAGTGTTAGATTTAAAATTAATTTCCAAAAAGTGTTAAAATTAAAAAAAAAATCTTTGCACCCAGGTTTTTTACCAAGCAGCCTAGCTCCATTATCCTGCATTATTGCGCTGTTCTGGTGGAGATGCAAGGACCATAGCTGGAGATGACAAAAGATTTTTAAAACTTTTTATATTAGGACTGCATATGAGACTGCGAGTTGAAATTTTAGAGGAAACTAGAAATTTGGTGAGCATCATCAAATGTTCATGAACACATTACTGGCATTCTCCCCTAATGTTTGATTTGAGAAAAAAAAATCAGGATTGATCATTACTAAAATTTGTTCAGTGCAACATCCTGAGTCCTGACACAATAAGCGACCTCATGTTCTCCTCCACCAGTACATGCTTGTATGGCCTAGACAATCACAGCTTGTTCGTTTGGGAGTGGCTTGTCGTAAACGATCGTAAATTTTCAGTCGGAACAGTATTTTTCTCTTACACAAATCAGCTAGCAATACTTCTTTACGAATCAGCAACGAAACAAACCAGCCAACCGAACAGGCTGTCAATCCGAGACAAGTACACCCTCGCCTCGCCTTGCCTCGCAGACGCGATACAGTGGTGTCATCGGGCGGGCCGCATTGAGAGGCTCCCTCTGTGTTAGCGTGACGTATTTCAGCATGTACCTATTTTTGTGCTCATCTGATTCAGCGATCAATGATTATTGCGTGTTTTGTCTCTCATGGTATCAGGCTGGTGATCAATTAATCACACGGCTGCCTTCCACACCGGCCGGCACGTGAGGTGTGGCTCGGCCGGCCTTGAACAGCAGTTCCACGAGAACAACGAGATGTACTCTACCTCATCGATCGCCACCTCTGCAATTTCGTGCAGGGTGACAGAACCTACCCAAAAAACAAAAAAAAATCTCCTCACTAGACGACAATTCTTTTTCCGATAACTATCGAGTTATATGCTCAACTGAGAACAACAGTCGTCGCTACCTTTCCATGTCTCCTCTGTCCTCAATCTACACTACTGGATATCAACCGCCATTGTCGCCAGCATGAGTTCAGTGAACGTCACTGAGTGCTTCCCATCCCAGAATAGAAGTTACGATACCTAGCGTCATGCTACCATGTCATTTGCATCTTTGCATCCCTATCATCTGCCACGCTGCTTCACAATGGCATTGCCGACGGCCTCCGCCCTCAGGAGTCTACCCACTTTGGCCTTCGTTTGATCCGGCAGAAAGTGGATGTTTTCATGATATCATCTACGTCTTTTCATGAGGCAATTTAAACTAGTTTCGTCTGTGCTCTTGGATAGGTTTCCTATGCTTGTATGGTTGTACCTTATCTGAGTCTTAGGTAATAAATGTAGCAACTCATCCGCAATCTTCGAAAGGTCATGCCCTTCTTACTTATGGGCATGCTAATTAATCGCAGTGTGCATCAACTATTACAATTCCTGTGCATAGCCTGCACATGGTCGGTTATACCTTTCTGCATCATACTCGTTGTGTTGGTTCAACTAAAGATCTGGTCCCTAGTTCACTATTTCACTACAATTTCTTCATCATGCTCTTCTTATGAAAAAAAGTACTAGTGCTTTTTTAACTTATTATGATAGTCATGCTATATGTAAACACATTCTTGATGAGGTACATCCTCCTACATGCATGGTTTTTTTTTTGAGACATTGGTCTATCGCTCAATATATATCTGCATACATTGGCGACACTAGTAAACTAATTAATTGTGTGGTCTATGTTGAGCTACTTTGCTCCCAAACAAAATTAGTTTAATTAATTTGTGGGCAATATTTGAGATTTTAGAGGAAACTGAAAATATGAGTCACCAATTATAGTTTTATACAATGTAGATACGTGGAGTCGGAATTATAGTTATACCTGATCAAGTATGGTTGCGTCATGGTAATTGATAAGCGACATCCTACTTCAACTACGCCAATCCGGTTTTTCTCTCAATTTATTGATGTATTTTTTAAATTATGGCTGCTCATATATGTATAGAGTTATTTTTATGTATTTTTAATTATAGCTGTGTACAATTGTGTGTGCAATTAACATATATTCTAAATTATTGTTTTATCCGTTGCTCATGTGAACTGACATATTCTAAATTATTATTTTATCCGTTGCTTATGTGAACTATAAGGAGAGCCCATTATGAATTGTTTAGGCGCTTAGTGGCTCCAGTCATGGATTTTCACCGGCTCCGCCACTGCCCTGTACACTTTGTACCATTTTTTCTACAATCAAGTTTGCTACATCTGTACACTTTGTACCATTGTACCTAGTGGTTGTATATTTGGTCCTTCCCTGTCAGTACAAGTTTGCTAGTAGTTGTATAGCCTATATCAGTAAAATTTGTGTATATTTGGCCCTTCCGTATAACAAAATTTGATAGTGTATGTTTGACCCTTCCCTATCAGTAGATATTTGATAGTAATATGTGGTTGTGCATTTTGTCTGTAGAGGCTCTTCCCTAAAAGTATAAATTGGCGAAGATTTTTCTCTTAACCATCTCCTTTGCAGATGATTTTGTAACGCTGTTTCCAACAGATAATAACACTATCCCCCCATATAATAACACATAACAAGTTATTATAAAAAGGAAAAAAAAAACTTTGCACATTCAAGGCGGTACAGATGAGACATCCATATCGAGTGGCAATAGCAAGACAAACGCGGGCAATTCTTCGCGATAGCTGGCTTCACAATAGAACTGATAAACAGCCTTGTTTGGCAGTGGCAACAGCCAAGAATGGATAGACTTATAGTTGACACGCAAGCAGGGATCAGACAGACACAAGGATGATCAAGACATCATTAATACAACCTAGAACCTTGTGTTGTAATCACAGTATATAATACATATGAAAGCAATGAACTGACCTAACTCCAGACACAGCCAAGAAATGAATACCAATGGGGGGCACAGCGCCCCCAGACACACCAAACATCTCTCATGAATAACATCACCAGCCAATCATAAAGCAATAATACAGACGTAAATGAAGAGTCGATACGAGAAATGTGTACACTGCAAAGTCAACTGGGTTCTACTTTAACATCCATGTCCGTGGTAACCAACAGTTCCCCCATTCTCGCCTTCGAGGTCTCATAGCTGATAATTTACACCATTTGCAGTTCCTCAACTCTTTGAGAAGATGATTTGGTTTCGTTTGGTTGATCATATACATCCCTAAGACGCTAACTGAACTATCACTCAGGGGGCAAATATGATGAATCCGTCAAGCTTCACTTACAGAGCAAATCAATTTGAGAGCTGGAACCTTCCTGTTGGTTTCCTCTTTCTCCATCCCTAACAAGTATTGGGAATAACATACAGTCAAACTTGATTTCTTTTATAGTTATTAATGTAAATGACTAAGCACTTGATGAAGAAGACTTACAAATATAGCATAGTAGAAGAGTGTAAGGATGGCAAGAGCAACAAAGCCATACTGGAAAACATTGTACCTGCATATTTTGTGGTTTAAGTATCAAAATACATTCAAGTTTTAAATGTCGGCAACACCTGTAAACAAAGCAACTAACTTCACTCTTCATTTGAGAGACTCACTTGTAAAGATACTTAATTCCACGAAGGGATTGCAATGTATGGCCAAAGATCTCTTGAGCAGCAGTTGCTTGTGCGTAGTAGGCGAAAGCCGTGGCACAGAACTGAATCACACTGCACATAGAATAGCAGGAAATTATGATAATTAGATTAGGGGTTTTAAATCATCAAATACGAAGTAAACAAAAATAGGCAGTCAATACTCATGGAAGGGTTATGACATTTCTTTAAACCAAGTAAATCAACAAAACTCATGCTTATACAGAAGTCATTTTCATCTTCAGTGCATGCGACATAAGACAAACAATTCTAATTCCATTCACCATGGTAGATTGAGGAACGTTCCAATATGATCATTGTAATTGATTACGATTGTCTTTCCAAATGAAAGCTTAAAAACAATTTCAGATACAAATCATGCATGTTTGGTAATGAAATTGGGTTTCAACTGTTGTGGAGAAGATACAAATCATGCTGCAGAAATGTAATAAATATCCATTACCCTGTAATGTTCAGTGAAAATGAAAATTAAACCCTTTGACAATTCATAACATGTTATGTAAGGAAGGCATTGATGGCATACCTGATGGAGCAAAGTAGTATGAGCCCAACATTAAACAGGAAGGAGTTCATTAAAGTGCCTCCCCATCTGAAACAAATTGATTTGTTTGTGTTAATGAGATTTATAATAAGTAAAACTGCAGAAAAAAATAGTAGGCCAAGGTATGAGCTGGTTACTTCATCGGGTGAATTGTGATGAAAACAAGTTTCAAACCAAGCATCATCTCCCCAGCTATCACTGCAATAAGGAGATAGAAGCAGAAGAACGCGAAAGCAGCAGTCCCAAGGAGACCTGGTACATAAATCAGAAGATTAATTGGATTGTTCTCATCAGCAGCATAAGTTGACAAAGAATGGAAGATCAGAAGATACCCCAAACACCATCCAACTTTATGAAGACTTCATTCAGGAAAGAAGATAGAGGAGGATCAATCAACAAGTATATGACGATATGTGCAACCCAAGCTACTGAAACAATTAACCTGCAAGCACAACAACGTTTTGAAGAGATCACTTTGGAAAGTGCACTTGATTAAGATACAGGACAAGTACAGGACAAAAGTTTTGCACTCACCCAACAACACCGAATATAAGTTTTCCAATGTACCCAAGGACTGTGAATGCCCAAGTAGCCTCAGCCTGTACCATAACAGGTGTCAAGGAGAGGATCTTAAACATAAAAAAATGTATGACATGATAATTTATGTCGGATTACCTTTTCTCCTTGAGGATACATCTCTTCTAGAGCCTTCATGTCATCTTCCAGAAGTAATAACTCCTGATATTTGAAAGATTGAACTTAGCAGTTAGTGTCACTACAATACACAAGCAGGTATGACAGGAACGTTGGGAAAAAGGTCTACACTACAATAATCAGGGACCAAGTATCATATGAACAACATCATGTGGCATGCACATGGACACCAACTTAACGAGAGAACTTGCTAATCACCAAAACTCCAAAATGAGATGACTTCTATAAATACATGTTAAAAATACTTTCAACTCTTCTTTAAACCAAATATTTGAAATTGATATCTTCTTTATTCTGATCATTGACAGACATGAGACTAAGTATTGCAAACTGCAGAGTTCCCAGTAGCTAAAAGGGAGGCAGAGACCCTCAAGAACCTAAGTTGTTATCATTACAATAAATATATAGCTAAGTACGTAGCTTTTACGTATTTGAAGTAGCATGACTACATCTGTAAAGGAAAGGACATGCCATTAACTAATCTTTTGGGGTCACTTTATAACACCACACGTAAAAGGCTAAATATGGTGGTTTGTTGTTTTTGTGGAAGTAATAGCTAAACATTATCAATGCCTGGAAAGAGCAATTTCAATTAAAAAAAATGTGTACCTTTTCTAAAGCCTTCACGTTTTTGCGCCATTTCCGGCCCTTGTTCCCACTTCTTTCTTCTTGGTGAAGAGCTTCAGCCGCTTTTTTCAACTCCCTGGCCTTCTTTCCCAATTCAGTTGCTTCCTGCAGGGCACATGTTTAACCTCGAGGAAGCATTGATATCCAAATAATTACTAGCAACAGAAAGATTGATCACAAGTGAGGCAAGCATCCTTTATGATCAAAATGGTGTACATGAGAATGTATGCCCACCTTTATATATTGTGAGCGTGTAATTACAGCTTTTGGACGCCGGATAAATGAGAATATAAGTCCCAATGGAAGGCAGGCAATTCCGACACCACCAAATATCTACCAAACAAAAGTATAGTCAGCAAAATGGAAGAAAAAAAATGCAGAAAGATGACAGCATGATTACAGGTTACAGCAGTACTAAATGGTGGGGAGAGCACAGTGTTCATATTTCAGATTCAACTTACCATATCTAAAAAAATATGGCAAATTTGAACAAAGCAATACATATAAAAAATGACCATAACACAAGCCATTAAGTTTAAACTAAACTCACCGTGAAAAGCACAGATCCAACGATTGTAGTAAGAGCAACCACATATTCAGGGAAGGTAGCACGCATTGTCCAAGTTGTTTGCGAGTTAGCCGGTGCAGTAGAAGCCGCACACTGAAAAATTGATGGAGTCAGAGACTAGTACTCGTTCAGTGAAACGTAAAGACAGAGAGCAGAAACAGACTAAAAGTCATCAATAACGAAAAGGGTAATTCCATATTTCCATCAATGACTAACCACACGAGGCAATTGACTAAAGCAAGGCTGGCCACTTGAGAGTCCAGAAAATGAGTTTGGAAATGTCTGGACCGTTGAAGATAGGTGCCTGACAGTGAAGTCCACTTTACCAACAAGTCCTGAAGCGACAAAATGGAGATGGGATCAGCCTACTTAGGTAAACACACACCATCACGAGACTGAAAAGGTTCGACATTGCAGAAACTTAGGAACTTGATGATATCTGGTGATCACTAGATGACATAAAATTTTAGCCGTAAACATCTCATGTTGTTAATGGTCAGTAATTTGTGCAATAGGATCTGTATAGAATAGAGGGTAAATAAGGTTTGTATCAAGGCATACCCATTCTATGCAATGTAACTATCAAAAAAGCAGTACAGTTTTCTCCCATAGTCATATGACTGTAATGTAAAACCAAAGGAGACAAACTAATCTTTTGTTGTGTAAACTAAATAAAAACCCCGTGTAAAGGAATGCCTATGTAATCCACAACACATATACACAGTACAAAGAAATCTAAACTAAGCTCATGAAGCACAGGAAGAACCATCCACGGAGGGGCAGCAACAAGGGGAACTGAATTCCGGATCTGTGCAGTTGTAGCGATACAAGATTGGTAACTCAAGAAAAAAAAGAAGGTTCGGAGCTCAAAGCTGTCGCTTGAATTCGAACCCAAATGCAGGGACACGCTGGAATCCACCACAAGATTCGGGCAAAAGATGCCACATTTTTTGAACTGAACTACACTAAAATGCTAGTAGTATTCAGAATCTCACCCAATCCTGGAGGGGGGGTGAGGAGAGCAATGGGGGAAGCATGGATTGATCCGCGCGCACCGTATAGGATGCCGAGGACGAGGCCGCACACCACCGCGGACGCGACGACCCACATGAGAGCGGTCCTGAGCCTCTTCCCGACGGACCTGCAGGGCAGAGAGCAAGGCGGATCCAATCATCGGCGGACGGACGGAAGAAGAGATAGAGATGCATTTCAGCAAAGGAGGGAAGCGGCGAGGGGGAGCAGGTTACTTGTCCTGGTCGCCCTCGTAGTAGAACATGGCGAAGGGTATGACGAGGAAGACGAGGACTGCGTCGACGATGTAGACGACGAGCCAGAGCGTCTTCATGGGGAGCGTGAGGTTGCAAGCCCCGTTGTAGACGGCCTTGCGGCAGGCCTGGCGGTTGGCGACGTCGGCGGGGAGCATGAGGATGGAGAGGACGGCGACGGTGAGGCCGAGCACGACGACGAGCTTGGGGAAGTAGGCCTGGTTGGCGTCGTCGGGGTGCTGGTAGTTGACGAGCAGGTAGACGCTGACGAGCAGCACCACCACGCTCACCACCGCCGCCACGATCACCAGCGCCACGTTGAAGTCCCCCATCGGGGCGGCCGCCGCCGGATCTCGCGCCCCTCCGCTTCCGACTGCTAGTCCTACTAGGGTTTGCGCAGTCCCCCTCGCTCCGGCGGCGCCAGCGGCGGGGGGTGAGGGGCCACCACCAGCGAGCGAGATCTGGGCAGCGCCGCGGGCGGTGGGTGCAGGAAGCGAGGGAGGGAGCTGCGGCCTGCGGGCGAGCAGCAGCGGGTGAGGGTGCGGTGCGGTGGTTTGACGACGCCTAGGGGGAAAGGGACGGGGGCGAGGCGACTGGGAGATGCAGAGGAGGCCTACAGCGTGGGCTAGGCTGGCGCCGGCTCGGGCGGTTTGGTCGGGGTGGGGGTGGGTTTGGTTGGGTTCCGCCTGTGGGAGCGGACGGAGTTGTTGGGGTCAGCCGTTTTAGGTACCTTTTTTCGGCGGGCGGCGGTGAGTGTTTTTTTTTCTTTTGGGCGCAGGCGACAGGATTTTTTATTCTTTCATTTATCTTATGTATTTATTTACGTATTTAATACACTTAATTAATTAATATATGAAATTCAAAAATAACATATCATCGTACTCCCAAAGACAACTTTGGAAAATCGTTTTACACTAGGACGAAAATGTTTAAACCAATTCTGTTTTACGCGAAAACAAACCAATTCTATGTTTTAATGGTAGACAACGTGTCCATCGATAACGAGGTGCATATAGAGTGTGTTTGGTTTCCTGGAAGCTTGCCCCTGGCAAGCTAACTTGGACTTGTTTGATTGCATACATTATCTAAGTGTGGATAACAACTAGTGTGCTTGGTTGATTAGTTTGGTTTGGATAGGATCACCTCTTCTCTGCACAGGTAAGTTACCGCCTTGAGACAATCCGTCGAACACTTGGTGTGCGCCACCGTTGGAACGCACACCTGTTTAGTTCGCCCCTTCGCCGCCGAGAAGAAAACCGATGGAGTCACCACCTCACCAATGCCGTTGTGCATGCCCTCCCTGGCTAAACAGGGTTTATACATAAGACTTTAAGCTTATTCGTACTACTACCGGTATGACGATGCTGCAAAGTCGTTCAACGGGAGTACGACAGTATGCTATTTTTGAATTTTCGCACATTTGGCGTACTGTATAATACTATTTTTGTAGGAGTAATTTCTATGATTAAGTGTAGCATATACCAATGAAAAAAATGAAGAAGAAAAAAACAGGCGACACTGGTGATGATCGTGTTGGACCTGGCCACCTCAGACTGAGAGCACAGCGGACAGCGGTGCAGGGTCTCGTCTCGTCCGGTCCGGAGTTGGCAATTGGCATGGTTGGAGCTTTTGCGGCTCTCAGATTGGGACTTGACCTGGCGGTTGGTGTTGGTGATGACTTGATGGCAGCAGGTGAGTAGTGCACGTATTGCTTTCAGTTCAAGTTTTGGAAGGATTTTTGTCAGATGAATCCCCCGGCACCTATCCTTGGTTGGTTTTGCATGTTAGCTATAGTGAAAACCAGTTTGTTTCCAGCCACGGCATACCCAGCGTTATTAGCATCATCTGAAGTAATGGGTTGCGATTGCGCCAGCAGCGGACGTTGTTAAGAAATACTTCCTCCATCCACGTTTGACTTTTTTTTTACTCTAAGTTTGACCACTCGTTTTATTCAAAAAATGTATGCAAACGTAGTCAAATTTAAGTCATTTTTGAAGAGCTTTTATTAATAAAGCAAGCCACGACAAAAAAATAATATTTTGCATAATTTTTTGAATAAGATAAGTGATTAAATTTGATGTCAAAAAAATCAAACTTCTTATAATTTGGGATGGAGCAAGTAGGGAGCAGTAGTTTGACAAAGCAGCTGTCAACAGCTGGTTGTTGCGGCTGTCCCCCTCTGCAAACCACATCCATGACCTGCTTAGGTGGTGTTGGAAATGTCATTGGTGGGCCTCAAACGTGGAATGTGGAGGGCAAAGTTTGTAGCACGTTCGTTTCGGCTGGATTGGCTTATAAGCCATGACTGAAAGTACTGCTGGCTGGTTTGGTGTGAGAGAAAAATACTGTTCGTTGGCTGATAAGCAAGGCTTATAAGCCAAATACGAGCCGCCGAACAGGCTGTTGGTATGTTGCATCGGCATGCATCAGGATTCTCATGGTAAAAGGACCGGATCAGTCGAAAAACTCAAGGAATACTGCACCGCCCTTGACTCTCGCTTTGTTTCTCTTCCACCTCTGTTCGCTTAGCCGTACTTTTTTATAAAAAATATTATTTTTCTCTCACAACAAATCAACGAACAGTACTTTTCAACTTATTTTTACAGCATATTTTTCTCTCACAACAAATCAGCGAACAATACTTTTTATCTTTATCATGTTCTGCTCATCTACATTTCAGTCGGTTTGTGCTTACTTTGACTTATTCTCCGTCACAGAAATACTATTGAATCAGCCGAAATACCACCAGCAGAACAAGCCGCTTGTCTTTTCAAGCAACCTGTTCGCTTCGCTGAAAAGATAAGCTAAAAAATACTGTTCGCTGATTTGTTGTGAGAGAAAAATAATATTCCTTTACAGAAAAAGTACGGCTTATAAGAAAAGTGTCGTGAACCAATACTAGGGTACTCGAAGAGAAGGAGCTAATGGTCATCAACATTGATTCATCCGAGCAGTCAAGAGTGCGACTAGAGCTCCAACCGACCTCCTGGGTCGAGGGCCCCGCCTCGCCCGACCTCTTGGGGCGGGTTCCGCGTCGCCCGACCTTTGGGCCAGGGGCCCTGCCTCGCTCGACCTCTAGGTCGGGGGCTCTATCTCGTCCGACCCCTCAGGCGCGGCTCCTAACGGAAGCCCGTACCACCGCCAACCACTACGGGCCAGAAAGTACAACCCAAGGTCAAATTCTAGCATCGTGCAGGGAGCGGGCACATCTCAACATGACCCATGCCCGCGACATGTCACTCCAGGAAACTCACATCACCAACCGTGACGGACACGTGGTCACTATGTTGCCTACTCCATGTATGGCCGCTAACTAGCACGCTAGTTCGCGTGTTGCCCGATGAAACGGAATGGGACGTTACGACCCGCTGACAACGGCAGGGCGTGGCATCAGCGACGAACAGGCGCCCGGCGTGGAGCCGTTCCTATCACCATCTGTAGTGTCGATGGGACCCACATAAAGGAAAAGAAAGGCCCGGCGGTCCTAGAAGTCTTCCTCTCCTTGGCTCTTCTCTCTCTTTGTGTCTGTGTAACCTGCTCTTCTCCTTCGTCTATAAAAGGGGAAGCAGGACGTTCCAGGAGAGGGGTGGTTCACCACTCTACACGGCTGTAGACATCAAAACACATGCCCTAACACACCTTGGGAGCACACGCACATCAGAGACTTGGGACATGTCCCTCTCTCGCTCGTTTGTAATCCCTACTATAAACTTTTAGTGCTAGTAACATGAGCAGCAACGACGAACTGGACATAGGGATTTTCTGCCCGAACTAGTATAAACCTCGTGTCCTCTAAGCACACCGTCCGAGCCAGACGCGCAATACTAGAAATTTACTAGTTGGTAACTCGAAACACCGACAGTTGGCGCGGGAGGTAGGAGCTTTTTGCGCATCTCGACGTCCACATCAGGCCTCGGATGGCTAGTCACGGTGTCAGCCGGGTCCTAGTCGCGCACGTGCGCTTTGGGAACCTAGACTTCATTATCACGACGGAGGGAGAGTTGATGCAGGCTCCCGTCGCCGTCCAACCTCTCTAGTCCGCCGGCCTTGACATGATCGCTGAGGCGCTTGAGGAGCTACAGCTGCACGCATCGGAGGCCCACGCTCCCAGGAGCGACCAACTCCTCGGCTTCGATTACGGGAGGCTAGAACGCTAGCTCGGTGCCTTCTTGGGACCCCGACCGTCCCGGGAGGACCTAGGTCGCCTCACCTTCTTCTTCGCCAACGTCATGACACAGCTGGTCGGGGGAGAGCCTGTAACAGAACCGACCAATTATACGAAATTAAGTAAGAAAATCATCCGCCAGAGCAGACGGTTTATCAAACTTAAGCCCGTATAACCCGGTAGTCCGTGAAATCACGAAGGATTTCAAACCAACTCACATACTAGCCAAGATCGTAATAAGTTTAGCGGTCACCATCACATATTACATAAAAGTTTGCATCACAGATACATCAGAGTTTAAACATAGTTATTACAAAATGAGTTCGAATAACGTAGCAGAAGCCATTTGTTCAAAATCACACACTCACACGGAGTTCAAATACAATGCCAGCTAATGATCATCTTCAACAAAAGCATCAGACGAGACGTAAGGAATGACCATGGCCATGGTCCTAAGCATCACCCATCATAGGATAAAGGCAGTTGATACAGTAGCCGTAATACATCTGCCCATCTGCAACAAGTGGGAATAAAACCCTGAGTATGAGAAGGTACTCAGCTAGACTTACCCGACATAACCGAAAATAAGTGACACCAAGAATTATGAAGGGCTTTATAGTAGGGTAGCTGACTCATTTGCAAAAAGAAGCATTTTTAGCATTTCAAGAACCTTTCTAAAAGCATTATTGTAAAGTTAATTATTTATAACATGTCGACTAGATTTGCACCTACACTAGAGCAAACATGTGATTAAGCCAATAATGATAACCCATGATCATTAGCAACTTCCATATTGTCATATTCATTATAATTGTCCAGTGTTCCATCAACATTACTACGATGAAGTAACTTAAGTCAAGTGCTCACTATCCAGGAGCGATGGCGATTCGAATCGATTTCTAACCAGCTGGTGATTTATTCCTTACACAAACCTCACTCACCCGCTAAAGTGAGGTATCAGTCACCGAGTCAACTATCCAGGAATCTCGAGTTTGCCAGGAACCACATGTACCCGGGGGCCGACCGACTGCACTTTGATCTTATCATCTCGCCCCCATGTCCTACCACACCTGCTCCGATACAGTGCGCTGCGGGCAATCTACTCGGCTCGAATAATCTCCTAGCTTCGCGGTCGAAAGGTACTTTATTCGGCCAGCTAAATGTAAG